GCTCAAGCTTGAAGACATACAAGGCAGGTTTTGGTCGAGTGTATGGCCTCTTGCAGGAGTACTCAGAAGTTGGAAGTGGGAACAGAGAGCCTAGTGCTACAGTAGGAAGAATAGCGGGGCAGAATAGATGCGTCTATCCGGTGCTGTCGGCAGCGGCAGGCACATTGCCAGCAACAGAGGTTGATTTGATTGATATGTGAGATTTAACCTCCTCAAACCACTGTATGATTATGAAAGATGCCGCAGTGGAGGGCTTCAGAAATTTCGACCACCTGGGGTTCTTTAACGTGCACACAGGCTTCAGCATTTTCGCCTCCATCGAAATTGCAGCCCCCACAGCCAGGATTCGATCCCGTGACCTGCGGGTCAGCAGCCAAGTACCTTGGCCACTAGACCAACTCGGCGGGGCAGCAACAGAGGTTTGCAGCAAATGTGTGTGTTTTAAAATTTGCTCTCGTGGCATTAGCACTACCAGGTCAAGTGTGTCTCTGAGCACTCTTTAAAGAACTAAGCAGATGTGTTCGAAATGCTCGATTTTGATGAGAAAGATCTAGGCCATTCTAGTGTACTGAAAAGGTAACCACCAACTACACCATTAAAGCGCTAGATCCCTCTCTCTATGTCATCATGCTGGAATGTTTAGTGCAATCACAGTGGATTGAAGGAACACTTGGACCCTGGATATATGATGCTAGGGTGCCGAAACACTGGAGCCTGCTTTGAGGAATGCTCTGCGCTGAACTGTGGGGCAAGCTAGTTGCTTTTTCTCACGAAATATTTTTTGAAGTGTGGGAAATTGCTATTGCCAAATTCGATCAGGTGTAAATAATGTTGCTTCATGTCTTACACTCGTTGAAAAGACCATTCCTGTGTACTGTGGCCTGTTTCCCTGGGTGCTGCTTTCCGAACAATCGCAGTTCACTCTGTTCCGCCCTTGGCGTGAAAACGCTCAGCCCACATTGGTTTGCAGCCATCGAGTTTCCTGCCAGTGCTGAACGAGAGTAACCATTTCAAAAGGCGGTGAAAGAGAGATGTGGCAATCGCATCTGTGCTTGTGTGAGCGTCACAGCTTGAACTCCGTGCATTGACAATCAAATCGTCGCAGTTGCTTGGGTAGGTCGAAGATGTAATTTTTATTTGGTACTCTGTGACCTCTCGACATTCTCTTGGCACGACGAATTCTATGTTTACAGCATTAAAGGCCAGCTCCGGCAAATTTGTAACCATGTCTAGGTGATGGTAATGTCTAGGTATGCAAGAAAACGTGAAACATAAACCGAAACGACTGAGCAACACTATCCTTGCTACACAGGCTCAAACCAAGATTTGTGCAAGGCGTGTTGGCTCGGCCAGTGTAGGGGCGGATGAAATTGATTATAATTGGAACCAGGCCACACCAATCATGCAGTGTCTCATTGCAAAAGATCTTTTGGCTGTTCTGGTTTACCATAGGCAAACTCTTTCCATAAGATATGCCAGGTCTACCCACGTGTGTTAAGCTGTGCACCCTGTAAAAGGTGGCTCGTACTATACTTTCGTTATATTTTATCAATCCTATTGCTAGGTGTCAAATGCTACTGTGCACAAACTTGTGCATTCTTTTCATAACAGTATAAGAAAGCTTTAAACTGAACTTCTTCCACCAGCTTCGTGCTTTAGCTAATAGCATGGCCATAGTTACCTGGACATGTAGTGCCATCTGACTGGAGAGAGATAAACCAGATAAGCACATAGCGTAAACAAATAGATTCCACTTCATCGATGGTGTAAATTTTCGAGGCTGACATGATTCAGAATAGCTGATTTGAAAGCTTTACCCTCTAGGACACCGGTGAGACACGTGCAAAATACACATGATCATTGCTTTCTTGATGCTACAGTAGTTAATAATACGCTGTATTACGAAACTCCGCTGGCGCTTCCGTCTCGAGCAATGCTGTGTCCTGGCTGACATCACATGCAGTGTGGCCAGCACGGTGTAAGAAAAACAATTTAGGTGTGGACACTCCGCCCAACGGTGCGTCCGGATAATGTTCGGCTCTTTCGCCTCTTCTTGGCCCCCATGTCGCAGCGCCCCCCCACGCAACTGCAGCTGGTGCATGTACTACAGAAGACGAGCTGCGTGTGTAGAATCCGCAACTTTTTTTTTTTCGTTTCGTATGTGAGAACTCTGTTAGAATCTTTTCTTACGCCGTGCAGCCAGTTGTGGTGCATTCCACACGCAGCGTTTTTTAGTCTCAAAAAATTTGGGATGCGTTTCTACCTCTAATTGCTAACGTGCACAGTTTTAACTAAAAAGAAATATGATAAGGTGGAAAAAGAAAGTAAAACACGCGTTGACCTTGTCTTGCTCTGTTTCTTAAGCCCTCATGTTGCAGCACGCCCCAAGAAACTGTGGCCGGTGCGTGAAATAAAGCCCAACATTGTCTGGGTGCGCTCTCCATGACAGCGGGCAGAGAGTGTCCACACCGAAATCATTTTCCTTACACCGTGGTGGCCAGTAATGAAAATTGTGGGAAGGCAGGCGAGTAATTCGAGGTATTCAATGAAATACTGTTGCAAGCAACCTGTGCAGGGTTAAAGCCTGCGACTCTGCATAAGTTAACGTAAGGGTGCTAAGAAATGTACACAGTGAATTTTATCAAGATCCACAGGCCTCTGCCAGAGTTGGCTTTCAAGTGATGATCGCGTTACCCAACTGTACGAACCTGAATGAACAGCTGGGACTAATGAGGAGCTTTGTGCCAATACCTGTGGTTTGGCTTGCTGGTTTGCATTGTCGTATGATCCTTCATTCTTTTGAAGTACCTTGGAAACTCGGTGGTTGCTGCCATCAGCCCATGAACTGCATGTACTGCCATTTCGTTATGCAAGTCCTGGTTTCGAGTGACGCTCTTGATAAGCGATGCAATGCATTGCTTGTGGCTTGTGTCAGTTGGGCTTGCTGGTAGCTCTAGCGCTGTTAGTGTCAGGTTTGAATGCAGTCTGCAGTTGTAAAACTGTAGAACTTCGAAGTCACTTGATGTTGACTAAGCGGAACTGTGCAAGAAAGCTTGTTTTATGTGCTGTTGTTTTGTGTGTATGTGGTTATCATAACAGCCGAGAAGGAACATAGATGACTAGTACAACCGTTCAAACTACATGCAAACCTCAATGTAACGAACTTGGATATTACGAAATATCGGTTATAACGAAGTAAATGAGAAATAGTCTTGCAATAGATAAGATGTTAAAAATAAACCTTTATAACAAATTTTTGGATATAACAAACTTATTTTCATGTAAGATGCAACTTTGTTATAATGAGGTTTGGGTGTAGTACGGTTCGGCCTGCTTGTAAAACCACCCTGCGCCTATTCCTTTCTTGAAAATTTATGAGAGGTTTGCCAAGAAAGAGCCAGCGATGTGAATGGAAGGGAATCCGGTTGTTAGTTTAATGGGACATGCTTGACGATGTAAACGTTTCATTTTATGAACTGTGAAAGAATTTCTTCAATGCAACAGTGTAGTTTACTAATTTAGTTGCCTAACGCTGTTGTTCTTTAGCCATTACTATTTGCATTTGAACTCGATGGTGGTTAATCATATTTTGTCTTGGAGAAGGCATCCAAATACCCAGAGTATTCAGAACTGCTTTTGGGTTGTGGGTCTTAAGCCAATTTTGCAAACTGATGCACACACTGATGCAAACAAACCGGTTTCACAATACTTGGGGGTTTTATTTCTTTTTACTTTTGAACTTGTCTTCAGTTCTTTTTGGGAGTGCGGAATATATGTGGGGACGTGTTATACCCTTGAGGCATTTTACCAGACGTGTTACAGTTTGCTTAGTGCTAAAGTTAGTTCTTAGGGCTAAGCAAGTTGTGGCTAAGGCTGCCAAGTAAGGTGTCCGATACGCATGGTCTTTTGGGCAACTTAAGGCTATTGCGTACTTTTTCGCCGGGCCATTATATCTCGCCTCACGAAACCATTCACTATTACTAGGCTCACGCATACAGATCAGAGGCATCTATTCCCCCCCCCCCCCCCTCTAAAAGAGTGCTGTTTGTTTTGTGCCTTCAGTGTGTTAGCCTCCATTTTGCTGGCGTAGTATTTGGCTTGAGGGGGTACAGTTCGATTTGTGTTGAAACAGTCAAGTGATTGTGAGCAGCCTCAATTGTACTGCTTAGATAGTCAGGCATGTAGCAAATGCTTAGTATAGTTTCTAATGGTAGCCGTCTCAGCCCACCAACAAAATGTTCCGTGGCACATTTGCTGCGAAAACGCGTTTGCTGCGTGTGCTTGTGTGATTGTCCTAGGAAAACAAGCCCGCCTGTTTGTTCTTGCCTCGATTTGAGCGTCAAAATGTTAAACTCTGCCCAGCAATGGGTTTGCAGGAATTAGTAATCAGTTGTGCGTTCAAGTGTGGTACACATTGTGTGCCGCCGCTCTAGTAGGTTTTTATTTTATTTTTTTTACAAGCAACACGTTTTCGCCGGTGCTGGTTGCTTACAAGAGAAACGAAATTCTTCTCATTCTTTTTTGACCATGATGCTGCCAATGTGCATCGGCGCCAATACGTGAGATACACATTCAAAGATTCAAGAGAGAGGGTGCCTTACTTTACTGTGATTGGTATTTCATTTACTTTGCATTTATTTACTGCATGTGCAGTTGCCTCTGATTGATTTTGCAGTTTTTTGTAAAAGACAGATTATAAATCGATTTGGTACGACATTTGAAACCTCTTTAGCCTGTTTGTTATGCATTCAGTCGGTTATGAGCCAGAAGATGCGGTCGTATTTTCAGGCCTTGTACACAAGTTTCGCTTGTGAATTTCTAATGGGAAGCAGCTGTACAGTGCGTGCACGTGGAGAACCAACTGAACCGAATGTTTTCATTCTCTCCTTTTCTTTTTCTGTTCACCTTCTTCATCACCTAATTCTTTCCTCCCCCTCCTGCTCATTCCTGTTTTTTTTATTCTTATTTTTTCTTCGATTCTCTCTTTTTTTATTTTGCAGAAACGGCACGGGACAGAGGCTGTCGGATGTTGAGTCGCAGAAGGTCACGTTCACCTTTGACCAGGATTAAACACACACAAACGAAACATGTACACAGACAAGAGAAAAGAGGAACGTAATGTTCCTTTCTTTTTATGTTGTTTATTATTATTTTTTTTACAAGGAAGGCGGGCAGCAAAGTAGCACAGAGCCACCGTGGCTAGTTTAGTCTCAGCCATTCCAAGTTAAAGAGAAAAGAACCCAACTTGATTCTGCTGTGTGTGCCCATGCCTGCAGCTATTGTTGTTAAGTCAGGTGTTGCATGTTGTCTTGTTTGTATGTTTTTTGTATTTGATTGTAATTCTTTTTTGACAGCTTTGGAAGCGTGCGCAAGAGTGTGATTTGTGTGAAACATATGGAATTTCACCTGTTTTTGCTTGTTTCATAAAGCAGGGTGTCATTTTTCATCAGTCAGCCTTTTCTTGTTTTCTTTTCAACTTGCATATTTTTTTTTTGTTACCTTGCTGCTGCTGCTTTGCCTTAAACAGCAGCTGGTAGACTTTCATTCATATCTTCTAGAATGCAGTAGGATGACCTTGCGGGGCATCATAGTACCATGCTGTTGGTAGATATAGAAGGCCGTTCTGAATACAGTTGCCGACCGATTTTTCGGACCTGGCGGAGACCGAAAAAAAGTTTGAAAAACTGAACACTCCGAAAAATTTGTTTTTGTCAGAAATATGAACTTTATTGCATCAAACAGGCTTAAAAAAAGTCCATGATTCTGCCTTGCCTCACACTATGCTTGGAAGCAATTTGGTTCACCCATATTTGCGCCAAGGTGACATCGTCACCGTAAATGCTCGACAAAAGTGGCAGCGCGATGGTGATCTCCGCTGCCGACAGCTGCGGGCGGTCATCGTCGACATCATCCGAACCAATCTCCGGCTGCGGCACAACGTGGCGAATAATTTCTTCGTGTGTGGGCTCCGCACACGAAATTCTCATCGTCCGCAAGAGCGAAGTCTTTAAATAGAGAATTATAGAATAACGTTTGCAGGCGCTGCGGGCGTTAAGGGAACTTAACGCTGCGGGCGTTAAGTTCTAGTATAGCGTTTGCTCCTCCTAGGGAAAGGTCTAGAAACATTCACTCCGATCGCAAACTCAAATGCACGGAAGCTACACACAACACTTCGCGGGCTTTGCGAGGCGGAATCGCCGCACGCTATTTCGGATTTTCTGCGGACAGGGTGCGAACGGCGACTCGCGTTACGACACATGCGCAGTGGCAGCGACTGCACCGCCAAGAGCTGACAGTGCGCTATTCTAGAACTCCCTAATGTCATTGTGGCAGGCACATTCACTCCACAACTGCGCAGATCCGCTTCTTCCCTGTACTGTGTGATGACAGTGCTGACCACTACGGCTGACTGAAGACGAGAAAATGGTCCCGTGCCGCGTTTTCTAAAGCAGACATGGCCTCCGAAACTTGAAATATGATGTTTGCTTTCCAATCTTGGAGGCAGGAAAGCCATTTTAAAATTAAGCCACTAAGCTTAGTCAAGCCGGCAGAAAATCCAACATGGCGGCGTCCATACAGGTTTATGGCACGGCTCAAAACAAGCGATATAGTCTGAAAAATCCAACTTTATGTGGCGAATTCGTACAAAAAACGGTTGAAAAAATGCACTAGCCCTATGGGAACCCTGACAGTGCACTTTTAAAGTCCGAAATATCCAACAAGTCTGAATTTTTGAGGTCCGAAAAATCGGTCGGCGACTGTATGTAACATCGCAATTATTGTTCGGTTTGTGGCTGGTGCCATGTAGCTTCAATCATTGTGCAGCTGCTGAGTTAACTGTTCTAGTGGTGGCGCAGTCGTGCGTACTGGGAACAGACACACGGAGTGCATGCAACTTCAGGAGGAAGCCCATGCTTTGTGTACCTGGATTAAAAATCCAGGGAGTTGACGTCTTGTATGCAGCTTGAATAAGAATACGGAAACGTTAGTGTGGGGCCTTTTTTATTTGATTTGTGCATCCGTTTGTCGAACTGCGCTTAGCGCCGCTATTGTGTTCAGAAACCCTCGGTGTGTGCACTTTTAAAAGTGGTCAGACTTTTACAAACCACGCAAGCCATTGCCAGGAAAACAGTGTTGTAGGTTTTATCAACACTGGGTTGCATCTGTTGCTTATTTATGTGGATGTTGTTGGCATCAAATGCACCGTGAAAGGCTTGAGCCAAGATGATGATATAAAGAAAGAAAATGCAAGGTTATGTTGTCATGTGCGCAAGCTATGCTGTTGGGTCGTGGCGCGGCATTCTAGTTCGCAAGAGGTGCTGGCACAGGTTTAAAAAAGCATTTTGTTTAATGCTCAGAGATATTGTCTTGGCAGTCAGTAAGTCTGCTTTGCCCCGGCTCCACCTGTGAAAGATGTTTCTGCGAAATGTTTGCTGCTCGCCTTTCTCTCGCGCCTCGGCATGTGCTCGCTACGCTTACATATATTTTGTTCCATGTGAATATAGAAAGTGTGCTGCTTCCTGACGTGTGTTGGCTCACTCGCCAGTCGTCGGTCATATTTAGCGCATCTCACTGTACATAGTACTCATGGTTTTTGACACCGGTAGTTTGCAGTACCCCTGCCCGCTCTGCCATTTCGTTTGTCGTCCACTGTAGGGGACGGTAGCGTTTATAATTCTTCTTCTATAGGCGTGAGACAGTCCTTTGAGACATCGCTTTTCTTTGTTGCTCCTGTAGTCGATTATCAGATTTCGTTTGTCCCCAGCCTCTCTTATTTTACAAAATCGAGACGCGCACCTTACTCAACATTGTCACCAACACCTTCAGCGACGAGGGTTGCACTGGCTGCGGCCATTGCCAAGAGGGCTGCAATGTTTGGGCGCACAGTACAGTCAGCGTTGTCACGCCAAGGTGTACAGGGAGCTCGCGCGTGATTGTTCAAGAAAGCTTTGTGAATCGAGATGTGCATGTTGAATCGTCCAAGATGGCTCTTCACGGGCGGTCGGCGAGCCGGGTTTGCATTGTCGCCGGCATTGTCGACTTTTGTAGCAGAGAGGGGAATATTTTCAGACGGCTTCGTTCGCCGGAGAAGCGTGTACATAATCGTGTAAACAATTCCTGAATGGGCATTGACAGTGTCTATCTATACAGGTGGTGAAATATCGCCAGTTTTTTGAAGAATGCATGTTCTTGCTTTTGCTTCGGTTGATTGTTTTTTAAGTCTTTTTTTGCTCCGGTGGATCTAGAATTCACCTATCGTAGAAAAACGTTTCAAATTTTGTGTTTCACAGCCGAGACCTCACCACTGGAATATCTGTACGAAATGGCCATAAATATATGTCCATAAATAACTTTACGCATATATATTGCACAAAAATTTTTTCCACTTGAATGACCAACATGTACCCAGCAAGGCAAATTGGAGTTTGCTTTTGTAAAATCGCTCTCGTTTTGAGTGGTAAATTTGGCAAATAGCAATAGCGAGCATTGGTTCAATCTGGTGCGCTGTTTCGTCCAATCATCGAAATGCCTGGGCATCCCGGTGTGCATCACTGCAGTTTGTCGAGGCGGCAAGAAGACGTAACCCCCCTTTCTTTACTGTAGTTGCCTTAACCCATGTTGACAGCGAATAGTGTTGTCACAATGTCACTGGAATGGAATTGTGAGTACCAAATCAGGTGTGCATTATTTCTCTTATGAATTCGTTAATAAATGGCAGCCTGTCACAGTTTTAGTACTAAAGTTCAAATAATCATTTCACTGAATGCTGTGCTTCGAGATTTGCTGTTGGATTTGCATTGAACTGCTTATGAATCATATTCCTGCAAAATGTACCCAGGGCTGCTGTTTTGTAGTGGTGCTGTTTTTGATGCCATTGCATACTGGTCAGAGGGTGTTATCACGTTATCAGCATCACCAGCCATCAGCAAGTGGCAAGTTGTAAAACCTGCACAGAATTCAGCCAAAAGAATTGTTGCAAAATAGCAGCCCAGTAATATGCTGCCCTTGTAGCCTCACAGGGCTTTCTCTTCAGCATTTGAATATTTAACATTTAGCTACTTTATCTAGTGCACATTTGGGTTGAGGCAAAACAAGATGTTTAGGGAGGCTTGCTGTGCGACAACTGTCATGTAAATAAATACATTGTTTTGTGTCCAGTGCTGGGTCTCTCTTCTTGCCTGTGTATTTTGCTTTTTTCACGTAGCAAATTGCTTTTTTGTTGATGAGTAGGTGTATATTGTGGGAAATTCAGATACGAGAGCCTTTGTATTGAGCTTGAGAGAAAAAAAAAGTGTATTATTGGATATATGTACATACCATGCACGTGTAGTCATAGTAAAACTCATCACACATTTTGTTTCCCTTCGATTTCCTTGTCTATTTCTACTGACTGCACACTGCTCGTTAGCAGGGTGTCTGATGCTGTGCTATTTTCTCGTTCGGCGCGTTCCGGAACTTTCTTTAGTTTGGTGTGTGTGTGTGTGAAGAGGCACGTTTGTCTTTTTCTGTACAGATTGCTTTGTGCAACAGTAAGTAATGAGGATAATAAAAAACGACTTTCTATTGTGACTGAGTGCTTGGGTGGCCACTTAGCTCTTAATAGAGCAGTTGCTTAAGGTTAGTAAACACCGTAACGACAACAACAACAACAAAAAAACACTTTATCTGCCTTCTGTGAGCTATTCTTCTAAGCGTCGAGATATTTGTTCCACTTACTCGGCAATTCTTTCTACAGTCAAACCCCATTGCTACTGTGTATCATAGCTCACAGGAAAATATATTCATAACACTACATGGTGAGGCAAAGCTTCACTTATATATTTCGTTATGATGTAACCGATTGTTACACTCATATATATTGTCCGACGTGAAGACAGAGGTCGTATTTGAAGAAGCTGAGAAAACAGCAGTGGGTAAGTCTTTTTATTTACCCCACCCCAGAGAGTTCCTCGTCTTTCTCGTTGTTGCTTTCTGCATAAAAGAGTGCAGGCAGATGCACTTATTCCTTTGTTTGTAGCCTCTAATCCATGGCTCATACCCAATCTTGGGGATTGGCCAAGAGAACATATAGTCCCATATAGAAAAGTTGTAAAATGAAGACACTATATTAAAAAAAAAAAAAAAACGAAGATTCAGAGAGTGAGAAAAAAAAACAAGAAAATGGACACTAATAACTATACCTCGATTTTGGGAGCCGACCAGACGGCTGGTTTTGCCAAACACGATTAATTTGGTATGTCGCGGATTTATCCACCTTTCGAAATTTACTTCTCGACCCGCTATTTCTTTGTATTTGTTAATGTGGGCTTTATGTTGTAAAACGTTTAGAGTATTGAATTGAATTACAGACCGCATCGAATGCATCTCTCTGGCAATTTCCAAAAACAGAGGCACCAAAATTTTGAACATTATCTGTGGTTAAATTTATACCTAGCTTTGCAAATGGAATAGCTAGACGTCGTTTCCTAATTATTGCATAGTTCCGACATCAGTAAAAATAACGTTCAATAGTTTCTGATTCTTCGCAGAACGGACAAAAAGGGGAAAGTGTCAGACCAGCTCTATGTAAATAAAAAATGGGAGAACACGGCACCGGAATCTGGAGATCATAATTTCAAGTTTTTTTGACTCGCTCCACTGGGCTTTCCATGGAAATTCGAGGTGCTGATAATCTGTCCATTTTGTGATATTTTCCAAAGTATCTGTAAAAGCAGCGAATTTCTTATATCTAACCCCTGATAAGTATTCTAACTCGGGAAGTACCGAAATTACTGGTCCATCAAGTGATGCTCGCGCCAAGGCATCTGCCAATTCATTTAATTGTAATCTGCAGTGACCTGGGATCCACACTAATTTCAGGAGTTTTGAATGCGGCGGTGCTAATGTGTGAAAGGCTGCTAGGGCACGAGATTGTTCTGAAGTTGTCAGAGCTGCACACACCGAAAGTTAGTCTGTTAGGATGATTGCATTAGTTTCGGTCGTAGAAATTTTTCGAAGAGCTAAAATAATAGCTACTAGCTCGGCTTCAAATATAGCAGTGAAATCTGGAATCCTCACTGAAAAAGACCAGCCGAGGAAATCAGACGCAATTCTTACGCCTGCCTTTTCATTGTTGACAGAAGCATCTGTAGCTATTGCATTCTTTGTTTCTGCATGTACCAAGTAATCTTTTAATGTAGTGGTCAAAAATCTAAGAGATTGCAACTTGGCTTGTGGGGGGAAGATTTCATCGTACTCTATCCTAATGTTGAGGGTTGAGGAATTAGTTTCAATTACCGTGCTAATGTCTACATTTATGCAATCCAGTTTCTTTTAACAAAAATTATCTGAGGGGTATGAAATCGAGGTTAATGTGCAAGAAAGAAAGAGCCAGGGTCGCTGATAAGTGCGTACTCTGATCTTCGCAATAAACAATTGTATCGGGCCAGTTGGTAAGGATCCATCTTGCTATAGGAAGCGCAGCCACTATTACAAAGAACACACAACACAAGCGCTTACTTCAACTAAACGTTTATTGCAAACGTCAGAGTTTATAAAGGGGGTGAAAAGAGAAAAAGAATAAAAAATGAAAAATGGTAGACAACAAAAAGCACACGTGCCAGTCCCGTGCATTACTATCCGTTATTGTCTATCACCCCATCCAAAAAACATAGTTCTTTGCGCGTGAGCGAGATAGAGGGTGCACTAACACAATCAAAATCATCGCGTGTCATTTCAGCCGCTTCTACTATCAAACGGGCTAACAAATCCCTGTCCCGATACAGCACGCACGTGTTATCGAAATAAGGCACGTAACCGCACTCCTTACAGTGGATCGCCAAGTGACCATCGGTACCCTTCTGCACTTTATTGTGGTGCTCTTTTAGCCTTTCATTAATGCATCTTTCAGTTGTTGCCACATAAACAAGACCACATGACAAGGGCACTCTGTAAACAACCGACTGCGCTCACTCAACGTATTTATTGCGATGCTTAATTTGGCAACCTTTCTTTGTGTTGTGTGTTCTTTGTAATAGTGGCTGCGCTTCCTATAGCAAGACTGATCTTCGCGCCGGTAAACTGTAGAACTTTAAGAAGGTTTGAACCGTTAGGATGCGGAATCGACAGAGGAGTGATGGCAATCGGGCTTCTTGATACAATACATTATTCGCCACGAACCTGGAAAGCACCAGGCATATTCGCAGGGCTTCTCACTTTAACATTACTAGCGGTTTGATATTATAACTAGCGACCACCGAAAATAATACACACCCGAATTCCAATATTGGTCGCACATTCATTTTATATATTGTTGAGACGTTAATTGGCGGACACTTGTCGATGATGCTTGACAGCGACAGTCAATGCGGGTACTGACTCTCTGCACGAGCTGGTCTTCTTTTTCCTAAAAAGGGCGACCCACTAGAAGGCGCTGGAGAGGACGACCCACTGTACGAAGACTTCGCCACAACTACCCCGGGTACGAAGAGGGAGCCGCCTGGCGACCTAACAGCTGGTTACTATGAGCGGGTCGTGGTAGGCTTTGAGGCGCTCCACGTTGACAATGTCGCGCCCTCGACGGCGCATGTCCGAAGATGGTTCGATGGGTTAGATCAAGTAATTTACAGGGGAAGTGCGTTCGACGACATGGTAGGGGCCTTCGTATTTGGGCAATAGTTTTGAAGATAGGCCAGTTGAAGTGGTAGGGATCGAGAGCCAGACGAGCGCTCCAGGGAGGAATGTGGGCGCAGTAGTGATTGTGTCAGCGCGAATGCCTTTTTGCCGCTCTTGATCATGCGCTGTAAAGGTCCTTGCAAGCTCTCGACACTCTTCAGCAAGCTTGGCTGTAGCAGAAATAGGCGCCCACTCGGACAGATCTGGCTTGTACGGAAGTATAGTGTCGATGGTGTGCGACGGGTGCCTTCCATATAATAAAAAGAAAGGTGAAAAGCCGGTAGTGCTCTGAGGGGTGGTGTTATATGCGTAGGTGACGAAGGGTAGAATGGCATCCCAATTTGTGTGATCGGCGGCGACGTACTTGGAGAGCATGTCGCCGAGCGTACGGTTGAAGCGTTCAGTGTGGCAATTCGTCTGCGGTTGGTAAGCAGCAGTTTTGCGGTGAACAACGTTGCACTCTTTGGGAATGGCTTCGACGACTTCAGACAGGAAGACGCGGCCTCGATCACTGAGCAGTTCCTGAGGTGGACCGTGTCGCAGCATGAATCGTTGGAGCAGGAAGGAGGCCACATCGCTCGCTGTAGCCGCGGGAAGAGCGGTAGTTTCGGCGTATCGCGTGAGGTGGTCCACAGCAACAATGGCCCAGCGGTTACCAGCCGACGTTAGTGGAAGTTGCCCACACAAATCGATGCCAATGCGCCCAAACGGCCTGGAAGGGCAAGGTAGAGGTTGCAGACCAACCGGCGACAGGTGCGTTGAAGTTTTGCGGCGCTGACATTCTATGCAGAAGCGAAAGTATTTCTGCACGTAGCGGTACATGTCGCGCCAAAAGTACCGTTGGCGAATGCGGTGGTAAGTCTTCGATACCCCGGAGTGTGTACATTGCGGATCATAATGAAAGAATTCGCATATGTCAGAGCGCAGACTGCGGGGTATGACTAGTAGCCACTGGCGGCCGTCACCGTTGTAATTGCGTCGGTGGAGGAGGTCGTCGCGAACGGTGAAATGGTGGGCTTGACGACGCAACGCGCGAGTGGATGGAGTGGATGGATCAGTCAGCAAGTCTATAGGTGAGGCAATCCATTGATCCTTGCGCTGTTCAGTAGCAACGACATGAATGCTAATAGAAGAAACGGAAAATTGGGATGCTGAGTCGTGGGCATTGTCGTCAGGCAAGGGAGAGCGCGACAGGGCGTCGGCGTCAGCATGTTGCCTTCCGTTGCGGTACAGCACGCGGATGTCGTATAGTCTTGCAGGCGAAGTGCCCACCGGGCGAGACGGCCTGAGGGATCTTTTAATGACGACAACCAGCATAGTGCGTGATGGTCGGTGACTACATCAAATGGGCGACCATACAAATAAGGTCGGAACTTGGTAAGGGCCCAGACGATTGCGAGACATTCTTTCTCAGTGACGGTGTAATTAGTCTCGGCTTTTGTAAGCGTACGGCTTGCATACGCCACGACATATTCCGGGAACCCTAGTTTGCGCTGCGCAAGGACAGCGCTGAGACCGACACCACTGGTGTCCGTGTGTACCTCTGTAGGGGCCATAGGGTCTTAGTGGCGGAGTATGGGAGGCGACGTCAACAAACGACGGAGCGTTGTGAATACGTCGTCACACTGTGATGACCACGAATGGAGAGGCCCGTTACTTCCGAGGAGCTTCGTCAGCGGCGATACGATAGACGCGAAGTTTCGGGTGAAGAGCCGAAAGTAGGAACACAGTCCTACGAAACTGCGCAGTTCCTTGACGGATGTCGGCTTGGGGAACTCGGTCACGGCCCGAAGTTTGGCTGGATCGGGGAGAATTCCGTCCTTGGACACGACGTAGCCGAGTATTGTCAACTGCCGAGCTGCAAATCGGCACTTCTTTAGGTTCAGTTGCAGACTGGCGTCACTCAGACGCGTTAA